AACGAGAAAGCGTCAACATCCTCACAACCATAAACATTATTCATGTATGTACAAGGAATATCAGCGTAGCTTTTCCATGAATCAAATGTTATTCGCATATGGACCATTTTCTCAAAGCTTACGTTGCTCACTTTGACTGTGCCGGTGAGCGATCTCTCTTGAATTATGCAGTTTTCCAAGCATACCAGGCTCTTCTTTAGACGGTTCCGAAAGTCCAAATAGTCTGCAGCAGGCTGAGGGAAATCCAAAATCAAATTCTTCTCCTTCTCCGCTTTCAGGCCCACAATGGCGTCCTCCAAGTCTGATAATTCGAACTGCAGGTCTAACATGGGGTCTTCCTCGAATTCCTTGAATACATAGACTGCTGTCAGAGACATGCCTTTGGAGTCAGCAAAAACCACTTTCTTTTTGTTTTTGGTCTCGGGACTCTTCCATCCTATGTTATCAGTGTCCACATCTGTCTTGGTGCTGATGCAGGATCTCAGAGGTTTGTACTGGTTGACTAGGCTCCTGGACTTGCAGACCTCATATGAACTGAGGAAACTGCGAAGAGGCGGCGAATGTGCCAGACAAATTCTCATTGCCACATCCACAGGCATAATTGGACTTGGCATTGGCCTGGGGTTGAGTATCTGCAGAACCCTGTCATGAAGACAATAATGAAGAACACTACAGTGACCAATTAAGCAGGAGACATGAAATACTTTCCTCAGAATTTAGAGATTAAAGTGGTTAACAAAACTATATCTGCAGCTAGTTTGAGCTATTTTACAATTCAATTATAGTGCAATAGCTGGTGGTTTAAGCTTTTCAAATTAGAATAATTATTAGTTTTTATAAGGAAAATTCATACTTCCATATTATATTTATTATTACATATAATATTTATATCATACTTTAATACATGACTAAATTAAGGACTGGGATAAATCCAAAAGCAACACATTATAAAATATACATTTATAAAATATCTATTCCAGTGTTTTTAGCACTAAAAGTCATTAGACAGTAGACACTACTGTGCATTTCAGTTCTTACTAGTAATTTTTTGTAGTACTACTTTTAAGAATTTACCTATAAAGTAGGCAGTCTGTATATATGTAATGACTGGCTAGATACAGAATGACAAGTAAAAATGTTATTGTAACTAGTGAGATAAGCAATGTTACTACTAATAACAGCATAGCAGTGTCTCAAAAATAGAAACTATTTAATACAAAAATAATAGTAAAGCTATAACAGAGACTAGTAACTAGAGAATACCAGTACTTCAATGAATAGTACCAGTAAAACTGGAATATGTACTACAGCTAAATCTAAACCACAGATCCCTATAGAATTCATTGGCAAAACATAGCAAAAACAATGGAACTAAATGTTAACCAATTGTCGCAGTTGGACTAATTACCAGCTATTAAAAATTCAGTACTAGTAACATAAACAAATACGCTAATAGAAGTTTAAACAGCTTGACATTCCCAATGTTCAAATAATACTTTAAACAAGCCAGTATAGTTTTAAATTGAATCTAAATCATTAGTCATATTCAAAAGTCATCTTTACACTTTTCCAGCACGCAGTGACAAACCCACTCGATGCACTGTGACGCACTCTGTATTCTTACCTGGTGCAATTCATGAAACCCGTGGCTTGTTACCAAAACGGCAGACACGGTTTGCTCTATTATAGTTTGAATAAGTACAGTTTTTTCCTTCTTGCTTTTAAACTTCACTTAACAACGTGTCGACCATGATAACTAAAAACCCACTGACGAACCGTCGTTTGCAGCGGCACGCCCCCTTCGCGGTCCAGCTGTACTGCAAAAGCCAGGAGCTCTCAGCCGGTACATCAAGCCTCTGCGCGCATTGGTTAACAGTAACCCATTTTGACAGCCAATGGGAGAGCAGGAGTGCAGGAGAGCGAGGCGCTCGAGCAATCAGCGCGCAGGAAAGAATCAGTCGGGGCCCGCATGCACCGCACTGACCGCAGATCGGCACAGCAGTGAGCCGGGAGAGAGGCGGGGGAAAAGCGTCAACCAAAATTAGATAGACCTCTGACGAAGCTGTGACGCGCAATTTCTGGATAAAAGTAATTTATTTTCTGTATTTTTTCTTTATTAATAATACAGAGGCTTTTTATTTAGATTTTTTACCGTGTCACTGTAACTATTCACATATAATGAGGTTGTTAGTTTGTGTCACATGTGGGCTAAGTTTACTTTTGGCACAAAAACAAAACTGGTTCTTGAGTTGTGGCACAGTGGGCATTTCATGTGCTCACATCATAAAAATAGACCTAGTTCATGGAGGAGCCTCTGCCATGCCCCATTTTCACTTGCTCAGCGTTCATTCAGGTCCTATAAACACTTAGGCCTAACTATACAGGTATAACTTTTCATAAATGTGACCCTGGACCACAAAACCGGTCATAAGATCAATTTTTTTGTAATCATCTGAAAACTGAACAAATAAGCTTTCCATTGACTTATGGCTTGTTAGGATAAGGCAATATTTGGAGATACAACTACAGATACAACTATTTGAAAATCTGCAATCTGAGGGTGCAAAAAAAATAAAATAAATGTGAGAAAATTGCCTTTAAAGTTGTCCAAATGAAGTTCTTAGCAATGCATATTACTAATAATCAAAACGTACGTTTTGATATATTTACAGTAGGAAATTTACAAAATATCTTCATGGCACATGATCTACTATCCTAATGATTTGTTGGCGTAATGAAAAATCTATTATTTTGACCCATACAGTGTATTTTTGGCTATTGCTACAAAAATACCAGTGCAACTTATGACTGGTTTTGTTGTCCAGGGTCAAAAATAAAAAAAAATATCAGGCCAAAGTTTTTTTTTTACATCCTATAATTCTACATTTTCTAATTGGTTGTGCTAGAAATTACTCTTTGTAAATGTAATCACTTTTTTGAATTATTAAAAATAATAATAATACAAAAATAATAATTTTATCACGAATATCTGGAAAGCATGGAAGATCATTGGTCAAAATGAGTGGGAACCTTGTTCATAAGTGCAAGATCACATCATACCAATTGCAAGCTGTCATTTGTGGGTGTTAAACATTTATGAAGCTGTCATGCTCTATTGGTGTTAGACGGTCAAAATGCTGTATGTTGCAATGATAGCAGCCTATTGAGTAATGTGACCTACATTAGCAAGATCCATATTGCAACATTTTACAAAATGTATAATGCATTTATGATCATCACAAAATACAGAGTACAATACTTCAATCATATTTCATGAAAATTATATAGGTAAGGGCACTTCTAAAACTTGAAAATAACCACATATAATATGTTTTTTAAATACAATTCATACATCTGTAGGATATATTTATTCCATGGTGAATATTTTTGTTATAGATACATGTATATGCTTTGAATAAGTTCAGGAGGCAGAAAAGACAAAGCATAGGTGTATAAAAAAGTTTTAAAATGCATTGTCTAATAAAAATTCTCTAATAAAATGAAGTTATAAGCAGCCATTTAAGCAAAAAATATATTACAATACATTTGTGCTCTCAGCGTATTAAAAATAATATATTTTTACCTTTTATTACAGTCTTCTTTTCATTTTGAGACGTCTGAGTTTGTTTTGCTGAAGTCTAATCTAAACACTTAAGTCTGTATCTCAACAGTGGAAACTTCAAGCAACTCTTGGTCCATTAACCACACTTGCAAAACAGGAAGCGTACAGACAGCCTGCACACTCAATGTAGCTACAGCTGGCCATCAGCATAATGATACAAAATACACTAATCAAATCACATTCTGCTTACACTAATGATGACGATGGTCCATGATGATGATCAGTGAGAATTAATTTACCTCTATAATATAGAATCAAGGAAAGTGCTTGTTTAGCTAAATTTAGTGCAATTACAGATTGTTAAAGTATGCAGTTTAGTATAAGCAGGACAATTTAGAACATGTGGTGTTTTATTTAACATTTTGAGTATTGGATTGACTAATAGGATTATTGTTTTCACATTGAATGCTGTTAATTATGGATGATTTCTTGAGGTTGGTTAAACAATGCAGGGTGTGTTTGCTTGATATCAGCAGTCATGCAAACATGTATTAAGGGAAAGAGAGTGCAGAACAAGATAGAACTTGCAAGGATTTCTTCATTTGTCTGTGTGACTTTTTCCATTTTAAAAACGTTTACTTGCATTAATTGGACTGTTCACAAATATTATTGTTGAGAATGACACACAATTGTGTTACGGTCTTAGGTTTTTGTGTGTCACTTCCTCAGTGACCTGAAGTACCTGAGCTGAAATGTGAGCAGTTTTGCATAGTGTGGCAATATTTACAGAGCTATTGCAAGAATATCAGTATTTAGAGAACCAACCAGTGAAATCAGATGAGAATGTGCTGCAGTACATGAGCCCAAAAATATTTGGTATTTTATGTGCTTATAAATGTTGGTTGCATATGATCTCGCTGATGTCAGTTCAGATAGAACAAGCCCTCCTATTCATGGACAGAAGGTACTTTAGTATCTTTGAAAAAATGAAACTTCTTAAATGGCAATAAATTAATAATAATACATCTTGTTTTTTTTTTGTATTTTAAACGGTCCACTTTACCTCATGATGCTCTGCTTGTTTTGTTTTAAGAGGTATAAATATAGAATTAAAAAGCCTGTTACTACCATCTGCTGCTTGGATGACTGTATTACCAGTCACTAAAAATTCAACAAGAGCTCAAGATGATGTAATGCTCAAGGTCTGTTGGCTTAAACATTCAAAGCAATATTTATTTGTTAAATGTGTGTATATGTAATATAATATATTAAATATTCAAATAATAATATTTTGTTTTTCTGTTCTCTCTAATAAAAGAGAAATCTGAAAGAAAGATATACAGTTTGTAATTTTTATTATAACAATTACATTCAAAAATACTCCATGTATTCTAAAAGGGCACACATTCATAACATTTTGAACAGTACTATATGGCAATAAAGATGTTAACATGCTTTATGCTCTTTGACTATAATGTAGAATTTGTCTAATAAACTACACAGACATCATACAGTCATCGGTTTGACACTAAAACATTGACAATTACAACTAATTTATGTGTGACCAAATACGAAATTTTATTTTACACAAGTGTAAACACTGAAATTGTTTGCAAATATACAGTATGATATTTTACATCATTCCCATTTACATTTGACTAAATATACACAGCCAGCATAAGTTGAAGATAACAAAACCAAAGACTTTCACACTAGATTGTTTGCCTGGAAGAAACCAGCTTTGACACAGTGAGTAAACCTGAGTCAGTGTTGTCCTCTCATTCAAGTGGTCCTGTCCTCATTTGATGTTCATTTGTGCAGCTCACTCAACAGAAATAAGGACAACCATTTTTTCCCACAGAAAACAAATTCTTTCAGCTATCAGTGATTCATTTCTTATCAATGCTACTTCCATGCAAAATTTTATGAACAGAGATCTTCACCACTACGCAGTACAACAGACCTCAGATTCAACAATTCAGACGGCACTTGTATTTTGCTTTGTATTACTTCAGTCGAACAGGATGAAACAGAAACTGGCAGATAGCAGACTCAGAAAGAGGCAGAGAGGTCTATGTTTTCATTACACCATATGTGATTGTTTGAATTTAAGGAAGGAGGGAGGATCAAGTTCGGACCCAGCTGACAGGCACCCACTGCGGCTCCCTCTCAAGTCGTTCCAGAATATTCCTCAGCTCTACACAGGCACTGGCAGAGTCCTCCTTTACCAGGACCCTGTCCACTAGGTGGCCATATTGCTGGTCCATCTGCTTGGCTGATTGCCTCATGTCCTGCAGGTCTTCATCCTTTTCATATGAGGATAGAGAAAGAGAAATAGAAATAGAGAGTTTTTGTTCACTGTGTGCAATATAAGAGTTAAATGACAGAGATTTACTAGCTGCATTTGGGAAGTATGGTGATATAAATCCCGTCTCACCGTGATGTGTCCGTTGTCACCCCTTCCTGGTGATGTGGGAGAGCTACGTTGCCGATGTATCTCAGGGATGCGTGGCTTTATAAAAATCACATAGGGCTTAAACTCTGCTGAATGGAGAATTTTCAGGGCCTGAGATTTAGAGTAAAAAAAAGATATAAATCATTGCATTGGTTTCCAATTATGACCAAATATGACCAATTATGAGTATCTGCTGATGGCAAAAGTTGTAGATTCAAATCAAGATTAGGTTGAGCAGGAACATTACCACTGTGCAAGAGGTCTCCATTTACACATATTTGTTAATTAGCAAACACTTTTATTCAAAGTGACTTAGAAATGAATACAATAATCTACCTGTAAACCTGTATGACTTTTTGCAATGTAAAACAAAGGGAGCTATTAGCAAAATATCAAAGCTATTCTTTTCAATGCAAAATATAAAAAAGATCACAATTTCAGTGCAATTACTCATTTATTTAAATGCATTATGCATTACTTCACATCACATCTCACAGCTCAGAATCAGAAATAGAGAGAAAAGCCAATACTGAAAATAATTACAATGACAATGTTATATTTACCTCAGGTTGAACATCTACCAGACATACTTTATTTCTCGCCAGGACACTCCGGATTGACTCCAGACTTGTCCCATATTGGTTACTCTTATATTCACCATATTCAATAAACCTGGGTATACACAATACATGTTACATCAATTCAAACAACGGTAAAATTAAATCTGATAACACTATTAAATGAGTAGTTCACCCGAAAATAAAAGCTGTCATCATTTACCAAACCTGTATGACTTTTTCTTCCTCAGAACACATAAGAAGAAAATTGCCATGCAGTTACAACAGAATGGTAGCAAAAGAAAAAAAAACTTTTTGGGGGAACTGTGCCTTTAACAAAATGCCACACAGATGTTTTACTGACAAAATACTGACAAAAAGCATACCCAACATAGATATTAAAAAGTTTCATACAACATACTTATTCGATTGGATGTCAGCCTCAAAGGCCTGCTTGGAGATGAAGTGGTATTCTACACCTTCCTTTTCATGGCTCTTTCTGGGTCTTGTTGTGTCTGTTAGAAAATGATCACACAAATTATACTAGCATTTTAGTTAATGTCACATGTGATTTTACAATACACAACATGTAGTTATTTGAATAAATAAAATGTAAAATTCGAAGCTTTAAACTCAGGTCATCAACTTGAAGCAAAAGTAGGTTCTACTTTGATTCAGCTTCTTAGTGTATATTATAAGCCAGGACCTGCATAGTCTCTAATGTGGGGCTAATGGAAAAAGAAAACTCACGTGGCACAGCGACACCATACCGATGAGGATTCTCAGCAATCACCTTCTGCTTCAACTCATTGATCCGAGCACCAAGAGATCCTGCAGAATAAAAGGAAATGAGATTCTGAAGGCCGTGTAGAATGTCCTCCTGACATCCCTTGAATCTTACCTATCAGCACCACAAGCCTTGGTTTGTCTTGGGCTCTCATCTGATATAGTGTCACCTCTTCATATATGAGGAACTCATTCTCTTCAGACTCTGCTGGACGAGACTCTTTGGTTGAACCCTGGTGATCCTTGCGGCTCAGTCTGAAGCTTCTCCTTAGACCAGCTGTGAGAGCAGAAAGATTTTCCAGTAGATCAACATAGGTAAAAAAAAACATCTAAAAATATAGAGAAAATCAGAAATAGACATGACATAATTACATGAACACAAAGATAAGACAAAAAGACAAGGATGGAAAGAGGTATGTCCTCCAGACTAAAAATACCATGTGCCTGACACTGCTGCTGATTTTATGTAACAGCTGCATCTCAGGGGAAAATAGCAACACACTGTTCATCTGCTTTGTAAAATTGAATATGCAGTGAATAAGTTAAAGCAGCAACGCATCTATTCACATTACAAGTATGATATGACAGTATGACAAATATGGTACCTGAGTAAAACTCCCAAGAAAAGGCCTGGCCACAGGACAGTGCCACCGCCTTACACTCTGGAGAAACTACAACTAAGGTTAGACCATCACACATCCAGCAGTTCTATAGTTCTATAAAGACTATCACAAGCTATCAGCCATGCCAAAGCCTCTGTGAGCCATTAGCCCGAAAACAATAGTTCCCTGGCTGTAGCAGTGCACCTGTTGTTCATGCTTAAAGGAAACATTCACCAAAAATAAAAGTTTCAAGCCCACACAAGTTCCTTCCCTGTAAAAGCCCAATTCCATTACATAAGAAAAAAATATGCTTTGCTAAATTATAATTATGATTAAAAAACAAAATTATGAGATACAAAGTCATGCCTGAGATAAAAATCATTAATATAAGATCAATCAAAATTATGACAAAAAATTGCAACAATAACAACATTTTTACACATTATCTCATAATTTCAACCATGTTATATGTTATACTTGCCATATTGTTGATCTTTATGCCATAATTTCAAATAGTCATTATTATGACTTTTTATGTCATAATTTTGACTTTTTATATCATAATCCTAGCTTTTAATTTTTTCTTATGTGGTGGGAATGCACTTCCATACTTTTCTTCCTTGGAACACTAAAAGAAAAAATGCTGGCAGGTTTTTTTCCCCATACAATTAAAAAAAAGTTAATGAAGCTGTGAAGATACAATAAATGCAAATATGGTGCCAATGTGTCAGGTTTATGTCAATATAGCATGATAAATCATTGAAAATTGAATATGCAGATTGAGTTTAATTTAATCTAATCTAATTAATTAATTATCACTTAGGATAAAAGCGTCTGCTAAATGACTAAATGTAATGTAAATGTAAATGCCTATTCCTCACACAAAACAACTGTATGACTTCAGAATACTGGCACAGATCCTCATTCACTTTCATTTAAAGGAAAAACAAAAAATGCTACCATATTATATCATTCAGTGTTTCTCTTTTGGTGGTCAGCAGAAGTAAGAAAGTCATACAGGCTAAACTGAACAACATGAGGTTGAGTAAATTACAGAATTTTAATTTTTGGGTGAACTGTCCCTTTAAGCAGTAAGCACCACAACAGTAAGTGCACCAATCTGGCAATCTTCCTTGTAGCAAAAAGCACACACTAAAAACCACTAAAACTCAAAGAGGGAGTTGTCCGAAGCTCAAGATGAGACCAGTGGCTGGGGTCTTAGGATGTGCCAAGCGTATGAGCTCTGTGGTGAAGTGTACCGAAGAACTCGCAACAAAACCAGACGATGTATAAAGCGCACCACACCACACAAAAAAGCATCATCCAAAGCCAAAGCCATGTGGAGTGTATTCAGTGTGTAAGGTGCCAGCTCTCACCTACGTGCTGTCCACTGACACTGCCCTCACTGTCACAGTCCTCTGGAGGGTGGGTGGGTCAGGAGAACACAAGAGATGAAAGGGTACAGGCAGGAGAGGAGAATCAGTGGGGATCACACTTTACAAGGACATTTCATAGGTCAGAGTTAATGGAGAGGCCAAGAGAACCACAACTAAAGCAGCAAGCACTGAGCGCAGGGATTTCAGCATCTGTACTGGGTATTCAGAACTTAAGGGTTATTTTCATGGACTAGCCATAAACATAATTAGTAACAAATACCTGAAATACCCATTTTACAGATTTATGAATTAATCTGAAAAGAATTTACAATTATTTTGATTTCATTAGTTTACACTTTATTGTACGGTGTACCTTGTCACAATACAAGTAAGTACTGAGTAATATTAATTAACAACACGTATATACTATAGGGTTAGGGTTTATGGTTAGCTGCTTGTACAGCCCCATTTCCTTAAAAGTTGGGACATTTTGTAAAATGCAATAAAAACTAGAATCTGTGTTTTGTTAATTCTCTTTAACCTTTATTTAACTGACAAAAGTACAAAGAAAAATCTCTGTTTTCCCTCACCAACTTAATTGTATTTTGTAAATATATACAAATTTAGATTTTAATGGCTGCAACACACTCTAAAAAAGTTGGGACCGAGGCATGTTTACATAACCTTTCCTTTTAATTATTTCTGAACTGATGATACTACTAAATGCTGCCATTTTGCAAGTGGAATGTTTGCATCTTTGATATAAGACTTCTCTGTGGTCATCATTGTCTTATTCTCCTTTACATGAAATGCTACGCAATTTCAATACAATACAGAACTGGACTGCAGACAGGCCAGTCAAGCACATCCACTCAGTATCTACAAAACCAAGCTGTTGTTGCACGTGATGAATGAGGGCTGGCGTCATCTTGCAATCTCAGACTGTATGAAGTGACAATGGTTTTTCGTAGTACTCCTAAGCTCATGTTGATATATTTAATACATGCTGTCTCATGAAGTAACATTTAAGGGCTCAAAGGTTATGCACACTGAACAGAGATTTCCTGCCTTTCCCTATATGGACTGAGATTCCCTAAATCTTTTCACAATATTATATATGAAATATTATAAATATAAAATATTAAGACCTAACTTCTTTGCAGTCTTGCATTGATAAATGTTATTTTTTGAATACTTTTACAATTCTCTCATTAAAGTGATAGTCCACCCCAAAATTAAAATTGTCATCATTCACCCACCCTGTTGTTCCAAACCTGTATGAATTTATATTATATTATATTTTAAAGAATGTTGGAAACCAAACAGTTGCTGGTAGCCATTGACTTGGTCAATGGCTACAATCAACTGTTTGCTTACCAACATTCTTCACTTTTGTGTTCAGCAGAAGAAAGAAACTCATACAGGTTTGGAGCAACTTGAGGGTGAGTAAATATGGCAGAATTCTCATTTTTTGGGGAATTGAGAATATTTTGGCACAAAGTGGTAAGCCATGATTCATCTTTGCTTGCAAAGACTGAGAATTTGGTGGATGATTTTTATACCCAATTATGATACCCTTACCTATTACCAGTTCAGATGTTTAACTATAATCTTTTCCCTTTTATTTTGCCTATGTCCAAATGTTTTTGTAATGTGTTAGCCAATGAAATCAAAATTTGTTTATATTATCAAAATACAATTAAGTTGGTCAGTGAAAACATTCTTAGTTCTTATATTCACAGTTTTGTCAGTTAAATAAAGGTTAAAAAGAATTAACAAATTTCACGTTTGCTTTGATTCTTGTTTTTATTGGATTAAAAAAATGTTCCAACGTTTTTGGAAATGGAGTTGTAATTATGCATAATTTACCATTACTACTATATAAACTGTGTGTGTGTGTAACAAGCACACTATAATATAAAGTGTTACCTTTGAATTATTTCATATGTAATGACATTTTTTTTCAAAATCACCAACCTTTTTCACAAGTTTGGTCACCTGAGGTAAGCAGAGTGAGGAAACAAACACAATTGCTGAAACATGAATAAGTATGAAAAGCAAATGAATAAGGAATCTTGCAAGTGTTGTCATTTGTGATAGGTCTGGTTAAATATACATTTGCAATCTTAATTTATCCTATACAGATAGGCTTATCTGTTCTTAAAATTGCACAAACTATTTCAGTATATTTATACAGCACTTTCTGCAGACTGGGAGAGTTGTGAATGTAGAATTGAATGCAATGCAATAACTGTGTATTGGCAAGAATATATAATTAAAGGGGTCATATGATGCGATTTAAATTTTTCCTTTCTCTTCAGAGTGTTACAAGCTCTTGGTGCATAAAGAAGATCTGCAAAGACTAAAGTCTCAAATCCAAAGAGATATTCTTTATAAAAGTTAAGAGTTAACCATGCCTACCTAAAACGGCTCGTTCTAACACGGATCGCCGGATCGGCTTTCACCGTGGATGAAGCGGAGTCCAGCCTGGGGTCGTCACATGTGGTTGCCGCTCTTTCGTCGAATCCGCCGGCCGCGCTGTTCTCAGGCCCACCCGCCTCTGCTCACTCTAGCCCAGCCTCAGCTCACGCTAGGCCACGGCTTCCGCTCATGCCGTAAGTACGTTTTCATTTAAAGGATTTGCCACTGATGATTCAAATGTGAGTTTTGGCCAGTGTAAAGTAGCACTTGTTGTTTGTCATTTCTCCGATCACAAATGGAGACAGGGTTCAATGTTTACGCTGCACGATGCAACGCAACGCTTAAAAAGACAGTATAAGTCATTATAATCAGTAATTATGTCCCCACTGGATGCAACAAATGCCTCGTTTGTAATGGGCTTTAATGTTTTTGTCTCGTCGTTCTGGCCTGGACACGGCATCAACAGTATGGTAGGGGCGTAACATTTCCGTCACACGCTTGAGGTATTCGGCCAATCACAACGCACTGGATAGCTGGCCAATCACAGCACATCTCTCTTTTCAGAACGATGAGCTTTGTAAAAATCGATGCGTATCAAAAAGTCGGGGGCATAGAGTAGAAACAATAATGTACAGTATGTGGAAAAGAATGTGTTTTTTTTACTTTAAACCGCATAAACAAATTTCATTACACCAAATACACAAAATAATGTTCTTTTTAGCAGCATCATATAACCCTTTAAAACTGACTCTGAAGCCTAAATGAATTCATTTGAAATTGGAATTGAATCTGGCAAATTGTCCCAAGCTTGTGTGCTTGCAATTCAGAATCTAATCAAGAATCTGCATTGATAAGCTGATTATACCCATCTCCAACATTTTAAAGCATCTGACCATAAACAACATTTGTCCTGCCAAATAGCACTGCATCGTCTGGGTAACCCTTAACAGGACTGGACAAAAAGAGGAATATCTGACTATAGACTGATTAATATGTCTGAATACCAGAGTTCCCTTCATTCCGCTTTGGTACGATTCCATATTTTCTAGTTAGTCACACACCTAAATATGATGTGAGATGTTCAGTTGTCTGCTAAATAATTTCTGCATTTACAGAGCATTTGTTTAAATATTAACAAGAAATTCATGTCTTTAGTTAAGTAGTATAACGTATCTGTTAGCAATGCAGTAGTTTCTTAGAACTTACATGGTGTTGCTCTAGGTGATTTAGGGCTCTGGTGTGTTCCCATTTTCATCCTATACAACAGTCGTCTGCAGATTTAGGACAAAAAGTCCAAATATAATTATAATCAGAAGAAATCAAACACTTTGTTTTAGAAGACCTATAGTGGAAATTATTAATTTACCTACTAACATTCATAAATCTGATGAACTAATTTTAAAGGATGTTTTTTTTTATTCAATATATGATAGCCCATTAAACTCTGCAAGAGGAGGCTGATTTGATTAAAAATGACCAATCAGAATGGATATTAAAATAATGCATACAACATAATTTTGGTCAAGGATTTAATTCCTGTTCTATTAATAGCTAATTAATATCAGAACTTTAAAACCAGTTTTATTTACATTTTAATACATCATCAATCCTGCTTGTAATTTACATAAAAGGAGGAAAGAAACTTAATATTAATGTTTCCAAACAAATCCAATTTTTGAAGAATCAGCCTCCACTTAAAATCTGCTCTTGAACAACTATTGCATATTAGAGACATCTGGTCTATAAGGCAGTAATAAAGGTAAATGAAAGGTAGCTGTAGACATGATTTTTGTTGTGTACCTCTCCTGGAACTGTCTTGAAGGAATGAGGCCGGCACGCAGGTTGCTGTCTCCCACTCTTTTGGCCTGCCACCATGTTGGGTCGTCTTGGCTCACCACCTGCAGGATATCCCTACGTGTGAAAGGCAGTCCTGCCTCCTGACAAGGTGTGGCCTTGTCTTCAAATGGTGTGTAATCAAACAGGGCTCTTAAATAGACCTTTAAGAGAAAAATAAAAAAACAGAGCATATAACATTGCATACATATTATGAAGCAGCTACTATCATTTCTGTCCTATGATGTTCAAATAAAGTGATTACATTCACCTTACTCTCCTTGAATCTATCCTCCTCCTTAATGGCAGGGATTATCTTCAGAGTGATCGAGCCCTGAGACTGAGACTGCAGCCAGACAAACAATAAACAATCAAGGACACTAAATCAGGTAAGTGCCGTTTCAGATAAGGAATCTTATGGGAATGACTCAGTTTTGTAGAACAACAGAGGAATAGTGAACACACCAGAATCTGGCTGATCTCCTCAGGACGTTTGTGTATAATGAGATTTCCATTGACCTCCCTTAACTCATCTCCAACATGTACCAGACCTGAGGGAGAATTCAGTGAACAGTCATCGTGGTGCATTTAAAATATAGGGTCCAAAATAAAAATAAAAAAATTCTATGTAAGGCTTTCACTATAGTGAAAGTACTTCTATGTCATGATAAATTATCTTTATAATATTATAATATACAGTATACACTATATATTATCTTCATAATTCATAACAATTGAGCTAAGATGTTTAAAAATATATCTTAAAAAATTACTATTATATACTATTATATAACTATTATATTTTATATACTCAAATTGGCTCTCTAAATTCATGTACGAAATTATTCAACCCCCAAAAGTTAAGTTTTATAGAGAATATTTTTTTCTGAAACCTCTCTACTGGAATTTGGCCCTTTCCTCACTTGAAAAAGCTTCCAGATCACTGATCATTTTTGGTTTTCATGCTACTGCATTCTTCAAATTCAATGAAATATTTCTAGTAAATTCAGTAAATTGAGGGTTTTTCCCAGTTTCTCTGATCAAACATTTTATTCCCCTTGATGATATTGTACTTTTTCTTCAACACTCTCTGATACAAGGTTTTCTGGTACACTTTGTAAACTTATTAATAAAGCTGTGTTTCTAGGAACTGCATAACACTGCATACTAACACTCATTATACAATAGGACAACCTAGCTTGCAAGGCAGGGCCGACTCCAGGCATGGGCAGGGGTGGGCTAAGCCCACCCAAATGACAGTCTTGCCCACCCAATCAGAATTAGATACAGATTGGTTAATTTTTTTTATGCAGTGATTAAAACCAATCTGAAGTGGACTGTATTTTAAGAAGTTTAAGATATAGCTGGAGACTGCCTCAACAATAATAAAATAATTCCAGAAAATTGCAGCATTTTTCTTTTATTAGCTGAATGCAAGGCACGCTGAATTCACGCGGAGCTTCAGTCTGTTGCAGAAAAGCAGATGCTGACAATGAGCGAAAACGGGCAGAAATATTTGCGCGCTATTATGGCAAGCCGTTTTAGCATTAAATACTCCTTGCTGTACTAGTCATAATTTAGTTTTGACTAGTCAAAATTCCAATTCCAGATATCTATTCTGCAATTTTGACTCGTCGTAATTGGAATTAAGATATCTACAATGTGATTATGACTAGTCATTATATGCATTGAAGATATCTACAATGTTACTTTGACTAGTCATAATATACATTCGAGATATCTACAATGCTGTTATCACTAGTCGTATTGTTCCATTGACTTCCATTGAAAAATATTTTCGGATATCTACAAAAGAGTTTTGACTAGTAGAAATTGTAATTAAATATATCTATAATTGATTTTGTACTAGGCATAATTCTAATTAGAGATATCTCAAATTACAATTCTACTAGTGATAATTAAATTAGAGATATCTCTAACTGAATTAACACTAGTCAAAATTATAATTCAAGATATCTCTAACTGGTGTTTGAATAGTCATAATTATATTTCAGATATCTTTAATTCATGATTTCTTAAAGATATCCAAAATACATATGTAGATATCTGGAATTAACAATGTGACTAGTCAAAATTCCTTTATAGATATCTAAAATGTGCATGCAAATGCACCTTTGTTAAGCCCCACCTTAAACATTTTATTAACCAATCCTACCTTGGAAACTGTTGTCATCCGCCATTTTGTCTAAGAGTTGTATAATAAAGGTCCTACGTCTTTGGGTCATTTTAAACTGTTTTATACAGAAGTAATTAAAAAGTATGGAAATAAAAATGTAGCTGGAGCATGTGTAAAAGTGGTAGACTACACAGAGAGGACTCAGACAGGCTTTTGTCCTATTCTATATCGTAATTTTGAGACGTGTGCTGTGGATTAAATTGTGTTAGCCTTTATTTACAAACGAACACATGTAAAATCAGTAGTTAAGGATTTGTATAGGCCTCATGTCAGCTGTTGCAACATTTGATATAATGTTAAAAGAATACATTGGCACTCATCATTGAACACAACAGAAAATCATTATCATGGATCTCTTGCTATAATAAAATGCAACACTCTCACCTTGTGGGCTATTTCCTATGGAAGCTCGTTTCCGCCACTAAATAAAGAAATAATTAATTAATTAATAAATAGCGACTTTTTATTCCACAATTCTTACTTTTTTTCTCAGAATTGCAAGATATAGCTAAACACAATGCAAAGATTTGTGAGTAATAAAATTTATAACTAGCATTGATTATATCTCACAATTCTGAGAAGAAAAAAAGTCAGAATTGTAAGATAAAAAGCTGCAAATGACTTTTATTTTTTATTCCATGGCGGAAAAAAGCTGCCATAACGACACAAGTAAACCTGAATCCATACACAACGTAATGTAACCCACTAATAAATGTCATCAATGCCAGTTAAACTTTTATCAAATTGTAATCTTTTTAAAATCAGCCTTCACCTTTTTTTGACTGCATCTGATTCTGAAGCATTGTTCTTGTCCGTCATGCATTTATTTGTACTATTTTTCATGTTTTTATTGTATAATTCCATTGTTCTTCATTATGTCTAAACGTATAATAAATCAATTCAGACAAGCAGTTTGTGGTTTTCTGCCTTTATTGAACATTACACTGCATTTGGTCCGTTTTGCAACACGATTCAATTAAAATCACAGCGCTATACATACATGCACGCTGGAGACCTTTTACCACATATGGCTGCATCCAGATATTATTTAATAACCCCTGAAGTAATTCATCCAGTAGCTTTTCTCTCCGTGACAAGAAAAGCAGACCACTGTTGTTAGCAGTTAGCACTAAACATTAGTCGGGGAGGGGCTCTGGGAGGAGCTGAGTTAATTTAGTCTCAGGTCACACAACAGCACATTCGACTAGGAGCAGGTACAATTCAGATATCTTAAAATATAATTGTGACTAGTCGAAACTGAATTAGAGATATCTCTAATTACCTTTGCATATGTGTGACGCCCTATTGAAGATATCTATGATGTCATTACAGATATCTTAAATGGAGTTTTGACTAGTCAAAGTATTTAGAGATATCTCTAATCCGATTTCTTACTAGTGCAATTATAATTGCAGATATCTCTAATTGTCATTGTGACTAGTCGAATTATAATTATGACTCGTCAAAATACAATTGTTCCTACCTTAAAAGATATTTATGGATAGTCTAAACAAACTTTTAAATGCTAAAATGGCTTGCCGTACGCTATAGGTTGTTTGCACATGACGTCACTGATGACGCGTGCAATGCAGCTGGAGGGCAGGAAGTGATTTTTCTCCATAGAAATCACTAGCAGAAACTCAAAATGCCCGTGTTTTGCGTTGTTTATGGATGCTTAAATTGGCCAAACCGAGAAACCACAAGAAGCTTTTATCGTGTACGAAAATGTGTTGTTCATAAGTGAGGGAAAGTCAAAAAATTGATTGAAAAACGCTGGAAAAAGTGGCTTGTAAACCTGTGTCTGCAGTAGGGAGGAGCGAAGCTCGTGTGTGCAAATGGTTATTATAGGATATAATAATATATTAAGATATTTATAAAGATATAAATAGATTGGGCTGCCACCATCACGTATTCAGAATTCACTCAGTGCTAAACGCCACACGTAGACACGTAAATAAGATATTATTTGCAGTTCAGAGAGGTTCACTGATTATAAAGGAACATCGTCAGACTGATCAATTGGAGTGACCAATTTTTAGTGATTACATGGAAGCGCTATTTTGCTGTGAAAGTGCATGATATTCTAGGCTGCCCATGAAAGCTTTTTTCAGTGTACATATTGCTATATTAACTATATTATATGTACAGTATAAATATCTTCTAGACCAAGGATATCTGCAAGCCCACCCTTCTATAGCCGTCAAGAACCGGGCCTGTTGCAAGGTACACGTCATATTTCAACAGAATTTCCATGGCAACCATGAAATCTGCTCTGTATATTTCCAGTATAATCTGTAATCCCAAAGCAAATCATAATCTCAAGGGTTTTTTAAATCAATATTTTGCTTGTGATAAGAAAAAGCCGCTGCTCAGAATTCTATTAATATATATTAAAAAATGATTCTGCTGTGATTACAGTCTCCCCTTGTTGCTGACATCTAATTGTCAAAATGTCATCATTCTCAGTAAATTCTTTTGCGCAACATTTAAATAAATGGTTATTCAATTCCCTCTCTTTATCTCTCCATTGAGAATTGAGTCATCTGTCATGGGTTTTACAGTCAGTTTTTGGCTTGGATGGTCCCTGATTGCGTCATCACAGATTATGTTACATCAAATTTGCTGAGAGAGATTTTGCTGTTGTCCAGCCACAGTGTAAAAAAACCCAGTTTGCACAGAGGAAAAAAAAGTTATGCTGACAAGGGGAAGGATCAGGCTGTCACTCACCACTACGGTCTGCAGCTCCTCCCCTCATTATCCTAGCAACCACTACCGCCCCAGTTACTTCATCCCTGCGGATGGTTGCACCCTAAAGAGACATAATTGATTGCAGAAATTAAATATAAGCCTATATTTTGCATGTCTTAATGATAATGGACAGTACATTAAGACTATTAGTCCATTATGTTGACAAAACAGCTCAATCCTGAAACTCACAAGAGGCTCCTTGTTCTTAACCAAACGCACAATCTTTACTGATTCCTCCTCCAGTTCATCGTCTAGATCATCCGGTAGAGGGGGAAGCACAGGCTCAAAGTTTTTCTGTGCCACTGTGTCATGTACTGTTAGAACTGCCTGATGGGAGAGAAAAATCACAACAAAAGTTGACAAGATGATCCAATGGTGCTGTGGAAGAAAGAATGTGCTCGTGTATAAATGAGAGGGAGAATTAGCATGTAGTCGGTTGACAGAGAATGGAGAGAAAAAAAAACAGAGAAGAGGAAACTGATGCCTGGGGCACGTGGAGGAAATGAGCGAGTCTAATTAGAAGGCTGTAAAATGTCATCTGATTCTATTTTGTCATGCTGCTCACTATCAAATAGAAATGAATTAAGCTTAATTACGTCAAGCTTCATTTAAACACTGATTTAACAGGAATTATTGTGTCAGCATCATATCTGTTATAGAATTTACATACCCATGCGGCGGCTTTCAATTTGACAGATTATTGGAATATAAAGGGGAAAGTGTTTATATGCATCTGAATTTATTTATAAAAATATCATAAATTGTACTTTAGAGCAATTTAAGATCAATGGAAGATTTTTCAGAAAATTTACCACAAAGACATGAATTAGGAAAATCAGTAGTCGGGAAAATCTCTACAAAGACAGGGGCACAAGTGTGAGTTTTGCACCTTCACATGTGGAGCAGTAAGAAGTGTTAATAGCTCTCTTTCATCTTCTTCCAGTGGTCCGATCTGTAGCTCCTCTGCGACCTGTCAATGCAAACCACAAGACCAATATCAGCAAAAATGCAAAAACATGGCAACATTACAGTACAGTGAAAAAACCCACACTTAATCACTGTTTTTATTTTTCATTAAAAACATCTAGCCTTAAACATGTGTTGCTGTTTTATATATTATAACATTCAAAGGTTTTGGGCCAGTATGATAGTTTTCAACATTGATAATAATAAGAAATGTTTCTTAAGCACTAACTAACCATAGAATGAGTTCTGAAGGATTATGTGACACCGAAGAATGGAGTAAAGGCTGCTGAAAATTCAGCTTTGTCATTACAGGAATAAAGTACATTTCAAAATATATTACAATAAAAATAGTTATTTTAAATATAATATGAAATATTAAAAATAATATTAATATTTCACAATATTACTGTATTTTTGTTTCATGTTCTGTTTCATAAAGTAAATGCAGTCTTGGTTTGCAAAAGAGAAACATTTCAGAAACATAAAAAAATCTTACCAACATTTTGAACAGCTTTTGAAACATATATATATATATATATATATATATATATAAGAGGTCTATGACAAGATGGGCTAAACAATAAACACATTTTGTCTGACAGTAACACATATGAATAAAATACTTTTTCCATATACTTTTTATAATCTTAAACATCATACGCATATTAAATGTCATAATGCACAGGCCATTGTGCTTTCAAATGTTGATGCAACTTTTTGATGTCTGTATTAATACCTGCATTCATGCTGCCCAGTTTTCTGATTGTAAATCTCAAAATGTGTCTAAATAAAAAGACTGTTTTGAATACTTATGTTTGGTTCTGTGTCTGCACTACATATACATAAATACATACATATACATATATATATATATATATATATATATATATATACATATATACATATAAATATATATATATATATATATATATATATATATATATATATATATATATATATATATATATATATATATATATATTAGGTTGTATATATAAGTCATATATAAGATATATAATGAAGATTTGATTGTTTGCCGTTGAGGTAGAGATGCCACTTACGTCTTCTGCCAGGCAGGATGCGCTGTGGAGCACTGGGGTCGGGCTCTGGAGCTGAAACTGCCTGAGTCGCTCATGGATCTGCATGAAAAGTCAGTACATATGGATAATCATTCACAAAAACAATATTAGGATGTTAGACATTATCTCCAGCTTTACGCACTTTCATAATATAGCTGAGGCTCCTCTCACTGAAGACCTCCCTGAGGAAAACCATGTCCTCTTTGTGATTAGCATCTGGATGCAGCTGGGAGGTGAGGAGGGCTAGGATCTCATGCAGACCTGCAAGATATAAAAAACACAATACTTTAAAATTGTACAGTTATTAATTTTCTGTATACTTTTTCGAAACATAAATAATATAATAATGTTGCATTGACCAATACAGCAGGACTTACTGATGTCTATTAGTGTGAATGTGGTATCACATAAAAACAAAGATTTTCATTTACCAATAGTATTGAAAAAGGCTTTAGTCATATTTAAAATATTTGGTCAGCAAAACTGTTTCATAATAGGTGATTAAACAAATGGTTTTCAATTGTTCATGTGTTCTCAACATTTTTCCATGCAACATGAAAAACTTTTAATAGACAACTGAAATGACTGGAATCTCATGTGAATGTACATGATTTTACATGATATAAATTTTTTTTTTCAATTTCTTTATATGTACTTTTTTAATGAGGACCAAATTACTGTTCTTTATTATGATGATCAAGTGAGCTAATTTTTCAATCACAGCTACTGTATGACGTACCTGTGGTAGGTGAGAGAACAGGCATTACTGCTCATGTGACAGACAGAGACAAAGGAAAAATGGTTCTCCTCCTCTCTCAGGTCACTCAAAAATGCGGGTTTATCTGAAAAGCCTGTTAGAAATAAAATGGCACAAGCAAACTTTAGGAAACTTTTAACATTATAACTGTTCCCTGCTATGGATTGCATGGTAAATAACTGTTCAATAATGATGTGGCACATTAAAATCAATGAGGCGGATCCTGTACGACACAATAATAATATTTTATGCTCATTTGATCATTTCATTGAAATGGCTTTAAAAATGTTTGCATGGTGAGGTTTGCTGTGTTATGAAGTAACAAACCCCATCATGGAATTTTGCTTTTTTTTTTTTAAAGATGAGATAAAAATAGACTGTACCCAGTCAACAAAACAAGCAGAAAGAAAGAGAAGAGAGAAGGAGAATGAAAGATATGACAATAGTCATTAGGCATGGCATTAAATTAAATTAAATTAAATTACACTAGCCATCTCAGTTTAATCTTGTTGTGAGTCAGTTGAAGGAAAGCATCTCTCTTTAGAAAGGGGTATAGATTCTGGTGGTCTGCACAGTTCACAGTAAATGAGTGAAGTAGAAATATGATCACTTCACTTGAAAATGAGTCCCTCAGGAAATAATCCCCATGCCAACAACAATCAATACTTTATCACTGCGTTTCATCCAGAGAGACATCACATCAAAAAGTATACTCTGCACTAAAGTAAGAAGTTCCTTTTTACCTAGTCTGAAAATGATGGTTTTCAGTTTGATTGCAAACATAGTGTATGGTTAAATGGTCACATGGAATTGATGTTGATGGTGTTGAAATTATGCAGCCAAGCGATGATATCTCAGATCATTATTTAGTCTTGTGCAAACTTCATATAGCTAAAACTGTAAATTCTACTCCTTGTTACAAGTATGGAAGAACCATCACTTCTACCACAAAAGACTGCTTTATAAGTAATCTTCCTGATTTATCCCAACTCCTTAGCATATCCAAAACCTCAGAACAACTTGATGATGTAACAGAAACTATGGACTCTCTCTTTTCTAGCATTTAAGATACAGTTGCTCCTTTACGCTTAAGAAAGATTAAGGAAAACAGTCTGACACCATGGTATAATGAGCACACTCGCACCCTAAAGAGAGCAGCCTGGAAAATGGAGCACAGCTGGAGGAAAACAAAACTAGAGGTATTTCGTATTTTCATAAAGTAACCTATCCTACAGAAAAGCATTAAAAACTGCTTGATCTGATTACTTTTCATCTCTTTTAGAAGAAAATATATATAACCCCAAGTATTTATTCAATACAGTGGCTAAATTAACGAAAAATAAAGCATCAACAGGTGTTGACATTTCCCAACAGCACAGCAGTAATGACTTTATGAACTACTTTACTTCCAAGATCGATACTATTAGAGATAAAATTGTAACCATGCAACCGTCAGCTACAGTATCGCATCAGAGAGTGTGCTATAGATCGCCTGAGGAACAATTCCACTCATTCTCTTCAATAGGAGAGGAAGATTTGTATAAACTTGTTAAAAAAAACAGAGGTGTTAATTATAGGACCTAAAAACTCTGCATATAATAACCTAGAACACTGTCTAAGACTTGATGGCTGTTGTGTCAATTCCTCGTCATCAGTTAGGAACCTAGGTGTGCTATTTGATAGCAATCTTTCCTTAGAAAGCCACGTTTCTAGCATTTGTAAAACTGCATTTTTCCATCTCAAAAATATATCTAAATTACGACCTATGCTCTCAATGTCAAATGCAGAAATGGTAATCCATGCGTTTATGACCTCAAGGTTAGATTATTGTAATGCTTTATTGGGTGGTTTTTCTGCATGCTTAATAAACAAACTCCAGCTGGTCCAAAATGCAGCAGCTAGAGTTCTTACTAGAACCAGGAAGTATGACCATATTAGCCCGGTTCTGTCAACACTGCACTGGCTACCTATTAAACATTGTATAGATTTTAAAATCTTGCTAATTACTTATAAACCCCTGAATGGTTTAGCACCTCAGTATTTGAATGAGCTCTTGTTACATTATAGTCCTCCACGTCCGCTGCGTTCTCAAAACTCTAGCAATTTGATAATACCTAGAATATCAAAATCAACTGCGGCCGGCAGATCCTTTTCCTATTTAGCGCCCAAACTCTGGAATAACCTACCTAACATTGTTCGGGAGGCAGACACACTCTGTCAGTTTAAATCTAGATTAAAGA